GCGGAATTGGTTCAACTATTTCTCAAGCTGATTAGGAAAAATGAACTCTAAATTTAATTTTTACACAGATGGGAGGAGGGCACAGAAACTCCAATAAGAGTTCATTCCACAGGTTGGGGAGTGGCACTAATAGTGCTTCTCCAGATTCTAACATTATGGTTAAGGCACGTACAGCAGAGATTTTTTAAACTGGAGGAATGGGTACCAAACTAGTCTCTACACTAATCTTTTATGGGGATCTGATTACAAGGTTCATAAACTTTCTATTTTAGGAATTTTTGTAAAGTCTGGATTTCACAATCAGTGAAAATTCAAGTAGTTCATAAGAGATCCATTTCATTATTGTGAAGGGTTTTACCATCCTTTATTTCCTATAAATGTTTTATAATCCAGAAGTATACTAATATTTAAGTTGGCATTTGTTAGCTTTTAAGTGTTTAAAATTTTTTATATCCTCAAGGACTGAAGCTATAACACATCAAACAATTTAATAAAATGTCTATGAAATCACTGTTCTACTTACTGTGATTAATAGCCTGATCTTAATAGTCAAACATTTTAAATCAGTATCTCAGGTTTCACAGACTTTGGGTAACAAACATTCTCTCTTTCTGTACCAAAGAACAACAGCAATTTGAACAAGTAAATGTGCCTATAAAGGATAACTAATTTCTTTTTTCAACCAAGAGTATACAATTTTGCATTTTATGTTTTTTACACTTTCCATGTATGCTTAAAATCAAATATCCTGAAGGAAAAAACCATATAAATTATATATTAAGAAGGCCATACTCAGGATCCAACTCATTATTCTGAAAACTGATGAATGAAAAGAAAGAACCAACTATATATCTTCTCTCTCCCTTATGAGCTGTTTTTTAAAAACCCACAAAATTGTACCTACCTCTAGCCAAAAGGAGTCCAACGATGCCAGCAAAACCAATAACACCAAGTCTTGGAAAAAATCCAGGAGGTGCATTTTGAAGATATTCATAGCTGTCTACAATAGAATCAGATGAGGAAACAGTTCCATAAATTTCTCATTATAAAAAAAAATCTTAAATCTAACTAATATATATAGTATTAAATGCTTTTCAAATAATGTATTCTTGGCTTTCTGCTAATATGCTTCTTTTCAACACATTCTTTTTCTATGATAAACATGATTTACTATTCACATACCAAGTATCCAATTTTCAAGCATTCTGGCCTGACAACCTACTGACAGTATAGTAATGTCAGATTCCCTTCATATTCCTGAAGGCTACACACCTGACTCTACTCACATGGGGAGAAATACAAATACAGGGATCCCCTGCCATCCAAACTTGTTATCCAAACACAGAAACACAGAATACAGGAGTACCTCAGGGATACTGAAAGTTCGGTTTCAGACCACCATGATAAATCGAGTCACATGAATTTTTTGGTTTCCCATTGCCTGTAAAAATTATGTTTTTACTGTAGTGCAGCCTATTAAGTGTGCAGTAGCATTATGATGAAAAGAACAATGTACATACCTTAATTAAAACACACTTTTTTGCTAAAAAAAAAAAATGCTAACCATCATCTGAGCCTTTTGGAAAAATGGCACCAACAGACTTGCTCAATGCAGGGTTGCCACAAATCTTCAATTTGTGTTTAAAAAAAAAAAAAAAAAA